TTGCTACTGCTCAAAAAAAAAAGCTTCAAACATTTTGTTCGGATTATATTTCAGAAACTTAATTCAAATGATGCATTGATAAAAGGCATTAATTCATTATATTTTGACAAAATTCAATTTTTGCACGTTTAAACCAAATATATCTGCCCTTTCCTCCACTTCTGGACTTGTTTCGATGTGACGGGTCACAGGTCATCTAATGATTCATCAGCAGGATGAAGGTTTTAGTTTCTGAGCAGCTCTAAGTTTATGTTTCAGTTTTAGGAGATGATTCTGAATCACAGAATTCCACGTTATGAAGAAGAAACTGTAAAAACATCTGATTCTGTTAAACCAGCTGCTCAAAGCGTTGACTTCAGCCTGAGGGGTTCTGGGCAGAGTTGTGGGCGGAGCTACAGTGACGCCGGCCTCAGGGTGGTCTCTTACTTTAATCAAGGCCAGGAATCTGTCCAGCAGGTTCACGGCCAGGACGAAGGTGTGCGTGCTGTAACCAAAGAAGCTGGTCAGACTCCACAGATCCTCCACCGCCACGTCTCTGCCCCTCGCCGAGATCCGGCTGTCGCCCTGGAAACCAAACACAGGACCGGTTCTGTGATCTGCCGGCACAGAGCAACACCCAGGAGGCGATGGGTTAAATCCCACCTCTGCGGCAGACTCGATGAGCATCAGGCCCGTCTCTTTGGGCAGGTAGAGCACCTCCTGCTCGTGGTTCGTCCTCAGCTCCTTCATCAACCGGACGGCGTCCATGTCTGAGCCGGACCAACAGGGACCTCAAGTCTTCGTTAACAGTTTGTCACTAAAAACAAACACAAACTCCAGTCATCGTTTCTGCACACGACGTGACCTCCAGGTCGACTTCATCTCCTACAGCCGTGACGCTGACGACGCCTCACTTCTCCTTTTGTTTCTGCAGGTTCTGAGTCGCCACACGTCACAGTTTATTGTGCAAACCTCTGGACTGTTTGTTCTGCAGAAACACTCCTCTGATGCCAATTCTTCTGTGAGCAACGTCAGACGAGCGTCGCAACATGTCAGGAAATATTTTGGATTACTACAAGTACGGCTGGGTTTTCAGAAAATGAACGAATTAAAAGAAAGTTTAACTTTTCTGTGAACTTTTTTCTCATTTTTCCAGGAGCTTTAGTCATAAAAATCACCAGAAAGGCCAAAAAACATTCATTTAATCCAACAAAATACCTAATTTTACGCTATTCTGTGACTTTTTTGTTATAAAATATTTGTTTTGTCCCGTTAACTCTGCTGTAAAAGACATAAGGCAAAGTTTTAAAGTGTTTAAATACTCATTTGCTAATAAATCAGTATCTTTAAGTTGTAAATGTTTTATTAACAATAAACAAACAAAAAATAGTATCACTAAATGGCAAAAAATATATAAATTTAGGTTCAAACTTTGTGTTTATGTTAAATATATCAAATAAAAAAAAATCCTGGTTGTAAATGTTTAAACTGAGCTTTTTTCCGGTGTTTGTTGTTAACAAATGACCGGCCTCCAGCGGCTCGCTCAGCCCGGACAAGGCGCTCCAAGCCCGGCCCACTTCCCCCAGCTGAGACCCGGTGTCGGATTTCCGCCGGTAGACGCCTTCCCGTCCTCCTGACCCACAAACAGCTGCATTATTTTAAACCTTCCGTGGGTTCATTAACCACCGAAAGGTCGCAGAAATAAAACAATTCACGACTTTTTCACGATTAAAGTGGAAATTAGCCGAGCGCTAGCCGTTTAAGCTAACATTTTTTAGCTTTTTCTTTCTTTTTTTAAATCCTGTTCGGTGTCGGAGTGGGGGAGGGGAAGAGATTTTTTAATCAATCCTCAAACAAAAACACAAATCCCATCTTAAAACAACACCAGGGTTCACAGAAACTTGATATTTTTATGGATTTTAGGGGAAAAACGCAACATTTTACGGAAACAAACCAYTGAAACAAAAAGAGAAACAAGCTAACTCGGAACAAAGTCAAACTAGAGATTTCTTTAACATTAAGTCCCGGACAGAGCTTTTCTATGTCAAGAAAATACCTAAAATCAAAACAAGAACATATAAATAACAAATAATAATCGCGCATTAGTTTTAATGATATAATAGATATTATTATTAACGGCCTATTCTTTAAGATTCAGTTCTCAGCAGTAAAATCGCAGTAAAATCGGATATAATTTCTCAAACAGACTGTGTCAATGTTTGTAAAAGTCTAATATTGTTTTAGGAAAGGTTTCTTTTACCTGTTCTTGTCCCGTTAAACCCACATCTCTGTCCTGTTCTCTCAGCTGTTCTGCTCCTCTTCTCTTTCTTTTCTCTCTTTTGTTGATGTTCACGCTGACCCCGCCCACATTCCAGTTGCCAAACAAAGACAGCCAATCAGCGCCCAGAATCCAAACCGAGCGACCGCCTCCCATCTTCTTTTAACCCGAGATAGTAAAGCTTCTTATAAACGTTTTGGTTTATTTTTCTCACTTTCCTAACCACTAATCTCGTCAACGCTTACGTTTTAGGTTAATGATCGGTTGTTGGTCGAACCATGGATCGCTTTTGCGATGGAAACTCTCATTCTCCTGCGAGAGACGCACCTTCTTGATTGACGTTCCTTTCCGCCAATCAGCAAGCCGCAGTTCGAGCTGTTCAAATAGTCCGCCCAAAAGTCTGCGCTGTGATTGGTTGGTGGATGAAAAGACTCCTGATGCAATYTTAACAAGACGTAGTGCCGTTTCACAACACTTTTATTTACTTTGTTTAAAAAAAAGTCAAAAACAAAGCCTGAAGYAAAAAAGTTGTTTAAATACAACTACGCTGTAAAATGTAATTCAGACAATGAATATGAAATGTTTCAACATTTTAAGATAAACAACAACTGTTGTCACAAACAAAGCAGTTAACTGGACTCTAAAACAAACCGTTCAAAGAGTCAAAGTTCAGTTCTGTTCCCAGTCTGCTGTGTCAGCAAAATCTCATGTTTGTTAAATATGTTTACCTCCYTCAAAGTAGCATTTAGCTACTTTTGTTTTAGCTATTTACTATTTTGCTTCTTTAGCTCCTCTTGTGTTTGCTCCTTTTTAGCTGTTTTTTTCCTTTCCTGTTTTAGCTAGCCTTCTGATCCTTTCAGCAACTGTTTCAGCTTTTAGCTAGTGTTCTTCTTTTAGCTACTTTTAGCTCATTTTGGCTTTTAGCTAGCATTCTGCCCTTTTAGCTGTTGTTTTGCTCCATTTAGCTAGTGTTCTGTTCCTTTTACCTATTTCTGCTGCTTTTGGCATTTAGCTATACTTGGTTCTGTTGTCTTACACAATTAAATTTTAGCCTTTTTTAGCATTTATCAGCTAGCCTTAGCATTGTTTCTYATGAAATATTGTTAAAAGTTATGTTTTTATTAGTTTTTAAACAATAATAACAATAATATTAATGATATTAAGA